ATCCACTTTATCTGCTTTTAAGAGTGCCACTCACAATACTGTACAGCAGTGGCAATGAACAGGCAAGCTATTAATGTCACCACCAGTGACCTCAGACAACTGACCCAACACAAGCATCAACTCCAGACCCTACAAGATCTCTCTATCCTCCAAGTCGCTTCCCTCACCCACAAAGAGACATTCAGCCTTGATCCTCTATATTTGCAATAGAAATGATTTTATCTTAACAATTATTGTTGACTTTCTTTTTGCCTCAGCTGTACTTCTTTTTTTGTCCTCTTGTGCTACCATACATTTATAATACTAATGCTGAGGGAGGGATTAATTTTGCACAGATGTTAAGGTTTTTGATGACTACTATCTTGAAAAAAATTCAATTGTGTGCATATAGGTACATAAATCCATGTCTACACATATATGATGTACCAGAACAGATTTTTAATGGGCCATAAACAGAAGACAATTTAATATAATGTTATATGGTAGACACCAAATTTAAACATTATTTCTCTTTTAGATATATCAAGAAAATTAATATGGCACAATTTTCATCCAGACACAAAAAGAAAACAATGAAAACATTATTACTGATGGGACTAACTATCAAAAGCACAGTGACTCAAAGGAAGTTTGTTTCTTGAAAATGGCCACCTGGATACGATGAATGACAGCTTTTCACAAAAACCTATGGCGATATGTACCAGGATGTATAACTAACTTCAAATATTCTGTGATGATCCTGCAGATCAGGAATTCCGAGGAATTTGCAATGCCATCTCACAGAACTTAAGATCAATACCATTGCCTAAATTGAAATGATAAATAGGGTCAAAGCCAGGATGGAGAAAATGGACATACTTGGCCCATGTGAACTAGGATTGGATTGTCATTCCCATCATGGGACCTCCAAGATTTCCTGATTTGAATCTCTTAGACGACTATGTATGGAGCATTGTTAAGAGTGTAAAGGGAAAAATAGTACAACAATATCCAAGACTCATTAAAGACTGTCACTAAGGACAAGATGAACAATATGAAAATTAACTAAATACATGCATGCAAATGCTTCTGTGGTTACATCAAAGCCACTCTCAAGTATAGTTCCATTGAATAGGCTTTCTTTGTTAAAAATGTGTAAAATATATTTTTTTTAAATATACCATCTATACACATAAGCTGATAAATATATGACATAAAAATAATCATGATAAAATGAGGGGTAGTTTTATACTTGGGGTTAATATTTTATTGATTTTCACTAATTTCAATATCTATGTAAAAAATGATTTGTATGGGTGAAGTAATGTTATTGGCTTGGAATGGGAAATTGGAGATCAGAGTTCAATTTCCAGTCAGGTTTGTTACATTCCCTTTTTCAGAAATACTTTTGTGAAAGGTAAGAATCCATCTCTTCTTGTTCAATCTATGGGCTAAATAGTAGGACTTGTATCTGAAAAAAATCATTGTTATTCTCAAAAAATTGTTAATGCATTATTTATTCACAAAAAAAGAATTACAGTTTTAGTAGGTTGATAAACTGTAAAAAAAAAAATATAAAAATGAACCCAAATATCTGGATTAGTTGCTTTACAATGAAACATTGTTTTACTAAGATTTCAGAAGTATTTTATATATACATTTAAGAGAAGCAGGTAGGTTCATCTGGTTCACACTCCTCCCTGGTTTTTTGAACAGGAGAAGAGGTTTATCCCTTGTTTCCTATTTAGGATTGGATTTCCAGTTCCTTCTAAAGTCTACTTCATCTCTATACTTCTGACTTCTCAACCTAAACTGTGAAATTTTATTTACTATTTATTTTTATTTTTTTCCTCAATAATAATAGACAGGTTAACCTATCAACCAGTTCACACTCCTCTCCATTCTTTTGAACAGGAGTAGAGGTGTATCCATTGTTTCTTGTTTAGGATTGGCTTTCTGGTCCCAACTAAAGTCTTCTCATTCTCTTTCATTCCCAGTCGCCCCTTGTGTCTTTATGGTTTTGCTTGGGGTGAATTTGATTAAAAACAAAGATATATATATATATATATATATATATATATATACACACACACATGCACACTGATACAATTATACATGCATATGAACACACATAGATACATATATATGCACATTAACACGTGTGTGTGTGTGTGTGTATATATTTCATTAAAAACAAAAAGCATTGAAAATGGCTAAAAAAAGGGGACTGAAATGCTTGGGACACTGGAAATTATGAAAAATTTCTATACTCCCTTCCTCCTACAAAACGGAAAAATGTAAGGATGCTGGAAAAACTAAATAAAAAAGTAATTAAACCTTCCTTGTCTACCATTTAATGAAAGATGTTTAAAAGAATGGTTGCTGCCCAAATATACATTAATATATGTATATATGCTGATATAAGCATAAAAATCTATATTGAGTGCATCAACATAAGTTAAAACAAACATCGTACACACACACACACACACAAATGTGCTTTTCCATGTGCGAACATCACCAAAATAATCCTGTCGATATTTTCTTCCCTTGTAGACCACAGAGAAACATTTTACAGTTTTTTCTACGCACTGAACAACGCATGAATTGCATGTTAATGCAATTACATTGCGAGACAGATACTGACTATGAAATATGGGCAATATGCAGAGATCTCACAAGAATAACGTAATAACAAATAAACATTCTTCTGCACGTGTTCTCCAAACAAAAGTTACCACAATGGAAGCAGTTTTTCTCAGAATCTTCATTATAAAATGAAATGAACAATTTTTTTTTCTCACCACTTGATAGGTTTTTTTTTTTCAGTTTCAAAATAGATTTTTTCTTTACATTTTGTCATTATTTTCTTTTCTTATCTGTCTTTTTCCAATCATCTCTTAATTTTTAAGCTCTTTCTTTTTCTCTCTTTCCTACTCACCAACCACCATTAATATCAAAATACTCTCTTCACTGCTTAGATTCTTCTAAAATCATTTTATTCCATTCGTTTTTCATTCATGATTTTCATTGATGCCTTTTACTTTCTCAAGTTTCATTCTTTTCTTTCTTTTACATGAATTTTTTAAAAAAATTTTTTAATTTTATTTTTCTACCTTTAAATTTAATTCTTTTCTTTATTTCATCTTCTTTGATCAAATTTATCTTTGAGACTTTCCTCCTTTTATTTCAATTAATTTCTCATCATTTTCTTCCTTCTTTTTTTTCCTTTCATCGTCATTCTATTGTAACCTCTTTCTTTCTGCCTGCGTCTTTATCCTCTTCAACTTCTCACTTTCAGACTGATTTCAATTCATTGTTACCCCACCTACGCAAACTTCTCTCTCCTTTCACTCTAGTCACACCTGATCACCATTTAATCAACTGTTAGCTTTTTCATTCACCCACAAAACAATGTGGGTTTGTTTTCTTCACTTTTCTTCTGTTTTTTTTTTACCTTTCTTCATCTTTACTTTTCTTCCATTACCTTCTACTTTTCTTTCTTTACCATTTTTGTCACTTTCCCTTGACCTTCCTTCACTTTTTTTATCCACCTCCTCCTCCTCCTCCCAACCCCACCTTTGTATTCACTTCCTTTTCTTTCTTTCATTTTTCTGAACAATTTTTTTTAACTCTTTCATTAACAACTACATCATACGTTCATTTTCTCATCTTTAATCTTGTAACGACACAGTAATAGTTCAACAAAATTTTCTCAGATGACAAAGATCCATTATATCAATGAAATGATGACATTCTGTTAGGTTTCTATGCATAAAATTGGCACTTTGGACTAAAGACATCCAGTTTATACTTAGTCGGATGACTTGAACTTCAAAGGCTTCAACATTCAAGCTATCTATATTGCTTACAAAATGTATTAAAGCTGTACCTAAGCTGAAATAATAGATGGAAACATGAAACCCTCTTCTTTTGTTTAGCACAATAACTATATTCTAAATCCAAACAAATGGGAGTAATGCTTCTACACCTGGACTGGAGCTACACAATAATCACTTTCAAACCTTGATAGAGTTCAAAAAGCCTTGTGAGTGACGAGTTGTCCTTTCTTGCTACTATATTCTTATTTTCATTGTAGATGTTCAGACAAATTTCATTCGTTGATTCCACCAGTCAAAGACTGTCACAGTTAGGATCTGCCAGGATACATACACAGGATCAACTCATCATCACTCCCTTTATATTCCACTGGTAATGAGGAAGTTTCAATCCAAAAGGTTCTTCCCAACGACCCTTGTGGAACTGATTACTAAGTGGATATATTCACAATCTCTACAATCTTAACTTCAAGTCTAGTATCAACCATTATCTATTCTATATATTCTCTTTGTACACACAACTACAATTAATAACACTTTACTTTGAATGGCTCTTGGGTCTTGCATTAAGCCAACAATAGCAACAAAAGCATTTAATGGTGTAAAATGAAGAGGAAAGATTACATGCTAAAATTTTTAAATATTCATTCACAGACTATTACCTTTTTCTTTTATGTGCCACATCCCTTCAGGAGATGTACAATCATGGCTCGCATTTTGTTGCCATGATTGTTCTTGGTATATGTAGTGGAGTTATTTCTCATTGCCTTCTCCACTGTGCTTGTATTGAGACACCAATTTTATTTAGCTGGCTGTTGACTCACTGAGACTCCTTCTACTCTTCAATAGGTTATATTTCTCATTCTAAGGAGTTGCTAACCACCCTCTTTGCATAGGATGAAATGTAGTGGGAAGGCGAAATCAGTTTAGTTGCCAACCATTTCACAAGTTTCTATTTTGAAAAAAAAAAAAAAAATGTAGTTGATGAAATCTGAAGTTCCATACTCCATGATCGCCAATGTTCTGAACAGACATGGCACAAACAAGAAAAAAAAGACTTCATGATTTTAATTGATAAAAGTCTTCAGGCTTTAAACTCAGCCACTAATGTACAACACAGGATATGTTCAATCAATACCATTTTTGAATAAATGGAACTACTAGAGCCTCTTAAGACTTAACATTGAAATACTGGTTCTCATATGATCATTGAAGTTAAGCAATGTCAAGCTTGGTCAGTACTTAGATGGGTGACCACTTGGGAATACCAGGTGCTGTAAACTTGGATGTGCAGGTGGTGTAATGGATAACTGCTTGGAATTGTAAATTGGAGAACTGAGTTTCAATTCCAGTCAGGTTCATTAAATTCACTTACTCACAAATACCCTTAGGAATGGTATGAATTCACCACTTCCCCCCCCAGCTATGGGTTAATTAGTAGATTACTTGTATCAGTAAAATGATTATTCTCTCAAAAAAATTATTTCAATATAAAAATATTTTCTGGCTCTTGTTGATAAACCATAAAAATTCAGGTCAACTGTAGTCGGGATTGAATGATCATTTCTTTAGCTGTATAATATGTGTTATGCCAGGGCTACATACAGTTTCTGAATTCAGAATTTTTCCTTCTCCTAGACTAGTTGCCACCCAAGGCTATAGAACCCAGTCTTCTTGCTATTTACCCATAGCTTGGGGGAGAAGAAGAAGATCCATACCTTTCCCAAGGGTATTAACATGTAAGAGAATGTAATGGATCAAGCTGGATTTCAGTTCTCTAATTCCTCAATACAAGCTGCTACCCATTACTCCACTGTGCCCTTTCATCTTTATTATCTCAGGAAAAGGGGTAGTTATCAGCCCCTGTGGAGTGGAGTGAAGTGAAGTGAAAATAATGGACAAGGAAAAACACTGGAGAGTTAGACATCTAAAAGAATCAGCACATGCTAGGCTATGAGGACCTTATTAGTAGGCCTAGCATAGAAATAAATACAATATAGGAACCACTAATAAAGAAAAAAAAACAAGACAAATAACAGCAAGTATTCAACAGCATTTGCAGCATTAATCAGCAGGTAGGTTAGGTTTAAGGCTCCAAGTTCACTATGGGACAATGTCCTAGTGGATTAAAGCATTGGTTCATGAATTTGATGACATAGTGGTTGTGAGTTCAATCCCTAAGTTTGGCAGTGTGCACTTGAACTCAGTGGAAATGGGCAAGAAATAACTGAACAGTACTAAATAAGAATAAGAACTAGACAATATTCTTGGCAGTGGAATGAGAACACTCTACCCCTGTAGATTAAATAAAGGGTTCTGTTCAGAATTCCCTGTAAGTTACCCAAATCAATATACACCTGAGGAATCCTGAAGGACACAACAGCCAAAACATTGTGATATTAACAACAAAGATGAGGGCAACAGTTTGAGTATAAATTGTGTAAATTATGAAATTATTATGTTGCAGAGAATAAACAAGAAAAGAATTGGAAAAATTTAGTTTTAGAAAATTCAGTGTATTGGCAGATAAGAGACAAATTCAAAACTTTAAATTTATATCTTTTGATGACAATGAAAATAAACCATTTCCATTTAAATTTAACATTTTTCTATTATTTCATTATATTTTGCATTTGTATAGATGAGAATTCCTTTATAATAGAGAAAGGACATTGACACATCTCTTCCTTGCAAGCTGATAAAAATTTAGAAGCTTTCTAAATAGAAACTGAATATTTACTTTTTTAATAACAAAGAGCTCTTTCTTTTAAGAGAGAAAAAAAAGCCAAAATCACCTGTTCATCTTAACCAAGTGAAGAAAAAGAGAGTCTTTCTTTTATATTTATTATCAGTCATAACGAATTGTTCTATTGGTGGCCGATAAGATGATTCTTAATAACTGGAACAAGACTAACAAGAAAAAAAAAAGGTGGGCTTAAAAATCTGACTTGGAAAGCGCCACACTGTTTTGACTCAAATGAACAAGATTGGAAAATAAGCTACAAAAATAAGCTTGATGTCTGAATTGATATTTAAAATAAATGTTATAAACCCATTTGTTTGCTGTTCTACTTTTACAAATGATTGGCAGGTAGTTTTGTATTTGTAATTAAAATCTGATGACATTTCTGATCTGGTTGCTACCTGAATTACTTACAGCAATCAAGCATGGTGAATCCAAAACTTGGCTTTTAGCTTTGACATTTATGCATTCACGAGTCTTCTACATCCTGTTTGTTTGAAAATATAATCTTATGAAAAAGACAGGCATATATAGTTTTTAGCTCAGCTGGTATATATATATATATATATATATATATATATATATGCATGCATGTTGAGGCACATTTGGGTTTGTTCCGTGCGCACAGAGCCCATCTGTAGTCTATACTAAAACTAATGTGTTTAGCAGACCTTTGTTACACTTTCTGGAAGAGTGCATAATCTGACATAGTCCGCTCTTTAGACAAAGCCAGTATACTCACATCCTCAGTCATGATGACTTGTGACTTCATTCTAGCACAACCATTGCTGGCTTTCAAACCATTTTATCAATCTAATTTCACTCACAAAGCTTCAGTCAATTCATGGTCTATTTTTCAGGTACTTTCCAATGGTATTGTGGAATCTCCCACAACACAACCAGCCTTACCTCTTTGTAGCAAATGCACTCTTCCTAACTGGTAAGCCAAATTCTACTTTCATACAATATAACAAGTATTCATTGGTCAATCACCTCCAATATGGCTTGCTGATTGGTCAGTTCCAACCAATCAAACTACCTGCATGCAACCAATCTATTTTCCCGCTCATATGCTGGGAGCTACTCAGCCATTATAAAAACCGAACACGTGTGAACCTTTCGAGTAGTAGTTACCAAGTGCCAAGATGTAACCTTCACCGACTCCTGTCTTAGTCATTGCTGACCAGACGTTAAAGACAGTTACCAACTTTAGACAGTCAGACCTCCACACCTAGAGAGATGCCCATCAACTCCACGCCAGTCAAAACTCTGACTTGGCCGCGCAAAAATATTCTCTGACTCAGCAACCTTCGGGCACACTCTCTCTCTCTCTCTCTCTAGAACTAGAACATTTCTCAAACTTCACTTACGATATTGAGTCACCCCCCCCACGAGGGTGTCATGTGGAACCAGGCCTTTTTAACGTGGGCATTCTGAGCCCGTGGGCTCTGCCAAAAATATGCCCATTGAACCCGTATAAACGGGTTCAGGGCCGGTTTACCTCCTTCAGGTTCCTCCCATCCATAGGAAGAGAGTTCAACCGAGCAGTCGTTCAAAGGTGAACGACTGACTCAAACTTCACTTACTATACTTTCAAAGTGATATTTCTCACTACATAAGTATCAGTAACTAACAATCTATTTTTCTCAAGCAGATAAAGGTATGCAACTTTGAACAACTTTGAATATCTGTATAAATTCTATATAAATTGATGTTATTGTTATGCATTCAACTTTTGTCTTGTTTTCAACTTTATTTGCATGATTTGTTCCAAGTATTTGTTCTAAATAATTGTTGTGGACGAATGTCGTAGAACACGACCTCAAAATTCCTTCTGATCAATTTAAACACAATCACCAGTCTGCAACAGTATCATTTATTGGATTCAACTAACCAGAATTATATATATATATATATACACTCATATTGGGGTCATACATCAGTTTCAAATTTATCTACTATAAAATTTAAAAATATCTAACCTTACTATCAGAAATAACACCTCACTGACAAAATTAAAATTATACCAGACCAACGTTATGAATTTAGATGTTATACAGGGAACGATATATATATATATATATATATATATATATATACACACACACACATTCATATTGGGGTCATATATCAGTTTCAAATTTATCTACTATAAAATTTAAAATATCTAACCTTACTATCAGAAATAACACCTCACTGACAAAATTAAAATTATACCAGACCAACATTATGAATTTAGATGTTATACAGGGAACAATATACTCAACAAAAAAAAAAAAAATTTCTATTGGGCACACCAGCACCCACTTGTCAATGTAACTGATGCTACATCTTTCTGAACATAGCTCAATAAAGACACATTTAATCTCAGTATACAAGATATTTGTCAAGAACACAAATGTGATACACAGCTCCCATTGTAAAAGCACTTAAAAGTGATGGAAGCCTTTATTATAAAAAACATCATTTATTATAGTAGTATAAGAAAGAAAATAACCCTTGAAAACAGCGAACAGTTTAGCCAAAACAACTAAGAAACAACAAAAGTTTTAGACAGAAAAGAAGATACTTATACATATTTTTTTTAATCATTGGCAATGAGACCATTGAGGCACAAAGGCTCACTGAGTGTGAAAGAATAAGAAAAAGAAAAACATTGAAAACAATAAAAGAAGAGGAATCAAGAAGACAGTAGATAACAATTAAGACTGCATTTAAATTTCTGGAGATCAAATATGGCAAGAAAGCAAGGAGTTGGAAGAGAATTCTGCAAGTGAAAAGTGTAAGAGAAGAAATTGTTATCCTAGAACTTGGAAAACAATATAAAAACAAATCCAAAGTACATTATCAGTCTAGTTTAATGAAACAGAAATTTCTTATTGCTATAAATATTATTTTTAGTGCATGTTGCTATCTCTGTTTTTTGTTGTATATTTAAACAGAGAAATTACCAACAACTGGCTGAAAGTGCTACTAAAGGAAGATTGTGACTGCAGCAGGAATCAAATGGGTAACCCTTTTTTCCATCAGGAAAACCACCTTTTGAGCCAAAGTGTACTGCTAGAAATTTGGCTACGTAGACCAGCCAAACAGTAATGTTTGAATTAGCTATTTACTGAAAACACAGTTCTTACTCTAAATGTAAACAACAATAATTTTTTAAAAAATTTTTTTATACAATATTATTCATTATTATAAACATCATTTTTAGTGGGTCCACATGTATGAGTTGCTATCAATGTTTTTTTATTTTTTATTTTCTTAAACAGTGAAATTAATAAAAACCAGCCTAAATAATTTAGCAAATAATGACAATATATATATATATATATATTATATATATATATATGAATGATAAAAATATAGATTTAACATATGCTATATTCATTGGTTAAAGTGCTCAATATCAGGGACAGAGCAATTGTAAATATAAAAGTGGATATTAAGGCCAACACCCATCATTGACAGTCTGTTTCATGCTTAAATGCAATCATCAGGTCATGAAGATTGTGTTTAAGCAAGAAACTACAACCCCTG